TCAATTGTGGTGTCAAATATTTTCTAATATGACGTCAACATTTTACGGGAACTTTTGTGATGTCCATGGCCAGTAATGGCGGACAAATAGCGATAAGGTGTATTGACAATCAAACACACAAGCCACATATCCTTATAATTTTTTTATATCATTATCAATGAACAAATTCATAATTGGTGTACGTAGATGCTTGAACATGGCAGATTCAGGGTCCCGACCCCCTTATGGAGTTACTTATAAGATACATGTATAGACTATTTACAAGTATCACTCCAAACGTTTGCTTGCCTTGGGCAGGGGCCCCCTTTTTCATAACCTTGATCCGCACCTCCAGAAACAGATGTAATTTGGTTCCGATTATGATTGAACACACACAATGAATGCACAAGTTTCATCTTAACAGATTAATCATTCTTACCAAGTGAGTATATATCGCGTAACAAACAATTTTCTTGGCTCTCTTTGTTGATATCCTGTCTTCGTTTCGAAATTCAAATTTCAACATTTCCGGTGATAAAACAAAAGTCGATTCCGGAAAAGGTCGGTTTTCCGTAAGGCATATAAACGATACGAAAATTGAACTTAGTACAGTTACAGATTTCATTTCTTAATTTCTAAAATATACAAGAACGAAATGAATAAACATTAAAGAAAGGTGATTGTTTATTAATACATTATTGCTTAATTTAATGTTGACTCTTTTGAATTTTAATATAAGAAGGAATAAAATCTGACTTCAAGGATCTTCAAGATATCAATTAAGGATTTCAACCATAGTATCTTGCTTGTCATGATATTGATGAAATGTAGTACTATATCTTATCCTGAAAAAAAAACGAGCTAATTCCACAAAACGTTGTTTGTGGGGTTTTGAATAAAGTTTAAATAAAATGTTATTTTTATATCCGTAAAATGTTGAATAAAATATCAGTAAGACCAGAGACATAGAATACGTATTATATGTCTCTGGTAAGACTATTTAGTAATGTGTATGTCAGAATATTTTATAGAAAACATTTAGCTGATATTTTTCAGATGTTTTATGTAAAACATTTTAATTTTACGTTATAAAACATTTTATGCAAATAGCAAAACTATATTTTCTGTAAAACATTTTTTTGCAGAATGTTTTTTGGATATTTGGAAAATATTTACTTTAAATGTTGTTAAAATATAAAATACCAATTGACGAAAATATTATTTTTTTATATTATAAAATATCTACGGGATATTTTAGAACAATGTTTGAGAACATGAATAAAAGATATTAGCAAATAATATTTTGTTAATGTTGTAAAAACATTTTACTTAAATGTTAGAAATAAAACATTTCAAAAACAATAAAATAAACGTTTTTTTTATGTTTAAATGATATTTTATTGAAATATTTTGTGAGAGACGTCCATATGACATTTAAAAAATGTTTTTAAAATGTTGTGTGTTTGCTGGGTAATGGTTTATTGTAACCTATAGGACGCTAGCTGTCACAAAGGAATTTCTTTAAATAATTGTTATCATATTTCATGTAAACAAACCTTTAATGTGAATTAGGTGCACATATCAAAATGATCGGATTTATTGCATCTATAAATAGCATCAGTGGAAATACCAGATTTCAGTAAATAGAGTTTAATTGGTTTGACAAATAGGTGATGTATTTACGGCAGCCGCATCAAAAATAAATACGGACATATAATTAGTATCAGATACTTATAATATAATCAAGCAAGTGATTATATCAACCTATCGATCGCGATGTATTCAATCTGATTTTCTCACCCTTTTCATGAAATAGTGACCTTTTTTAGCTCATCACTACCACTCATTACATAGTAAGTGGCCCCGAGATCTTCAGTTCTACCTTTTTAAACGCATTTAAGTAACATATATATATAATTGTGTGTGTTTTATCAATGGCTAATACTGTGGTATTATCTTTGTGGCGTTATCAACCATGTAATTACGCATGCTATTCTATGCATCAGTTTCCAATGTTTGAATGAGTTTACAAAAAATATTACTTGATATTGACCTTCAAGATAAAACCGCAACCTTGATAAAGGTAGAATGTTGCGAAATACTGTAATTATTTGTGGTTCCGCTTTTAACAAACAGGATGTTTGATTATGATAAGGAAGAATTGGAGCTGCATTATGTTGTGTCAAAACTTTAAAGAATCCAGAGTGTAACAAAACTCCACTTAACTTAATAGTCATTTCATCATAAAGTTTTACACAATTCCGTCTGTTGAACACGTACGGTTTCTACATTTTCCAATTTTTTTACATAAAACTACATATCACACATACAGAGAAAAGTATATTTAATTCTAGGTATCTATTTAAACTTAGGCCTACATATTATTTCTTGTTAATATCTCTTACTCATTTTTTTAGTTCGTAATACACTATACAATATAAAAAAGAAGATGTGGTATGATTTCAAAAGAGACAACTCTCCACAAGAGACAAAATAACACAAAAAATAACTGCTACAGGTGACACCGTACGGCCTTTAACAATGAACCCAAACCGCATAGTTAATAAACTTCACTTTCTTATCGGTTTTGGGACCTTATATCAAATTATCACTAACATTGGTTATAAAGATAATTTGTGTTGTTAGTTGATATACAAAATTCAACTCCGACATTTGGTTTAAGTCTTAATGTTCTTTATCTTACATTATTGAATATATATATTGAAGTTTTACGTTTTGTCCACGCTGTGCATAAAAAAGGGGAAAAATTAAGGCTGAAAATGCACCAAGTATTTATATTCAATTCATTCATGAGTATTTGTTAAGCAGTGAAACCAGTAGAATTCTATTGGAACATTTTTCAACAATTTGATAATTGAATAGACAAAATGTGAATATTCGTATTGAATATGAATATATCGTGCATTTTCACCCTTATTTTTCCTATATTTTTTTTACCTATATATATACTTTATCTATCCAACGCAATTATAATTTTGAACGTTGTTTTCAATTTAGATTTGTATAGTAGCACGAGTTCGAATCCCGGCAAGGGAAGAACAAAAAATTTGCGAAAGCAAATTTACAGATCTAACATTGTTGGGCTGATGTTTAGACGAGTTATATATATATAAATACTTAAAATTGAATTCTCCGTCCACACTAGTAGAAAAAGAAATAAAATTAAATTTCAAAATGCTCTTAAAGTCCTTTAATCTTCTACATTTTTTCACCAACCGGTTTCACATCTTTGTAATAATCATGGATGATAATGAATATATATATATATATATATATAGTGAGGCCAACAATGCTGGATCTGTAAATTTTTGTTCTTCCCTGGTCGGGATTAGACTTCATGCTACTGAGATATCGTGACACCAAATCTCCTTGCACTATGCAATATTTTCTGAATTACAATCAATTCCAACAAATGTTATTGTACGAGAAAAACACAGACAGAAATTTGTTTATGCATATAATGATAATAATAATAATAAAAACACGAGGGTTTTGCCGTTTTACCACTGATAAGATGTACCGATAGCGTCAAAGAATTACACAACAAAAACATGCAATTGTGAATAAAAATGGAAACATAATATGATTGGAACGCGAGATTAAACATTGTAAACTATAACCTATGCAAAGATTTAAGTTATAAAAATCATTATAATTCGATAAAGTCTTATCAATTCATAAATTGGTACAAAAATAAATCATTGTAAAACAGATATGGAATGGATATATGGATTATCAAACTTGATAAGTATTACAAATTTATGTTGTATCCTAATTATACTCATGATAATATTAAGTTATCTTCCTTACAACTTCCTTTAAGACAAAAGTTGTTATCTCCCATGTCTTAATTGTCAGGGTGAGTCTAAGAAAGATAACTCAAATTTGCCACAAGATGTTAGTAGAATTATGCTTTTTCATAATATTATGGTATTTCCTATTTGCCTCGACTGTAGAAATAACTAATTAAACAAGTTTAAATTGGAAACAACGTTCAAAACCTATGATTGCGTTGGATAGAAACCGCATTTTTTATACATGTGCATACAAAAAAAAATGTCTTGGTAGAGGGGTATAAAAACAGTCCAAACATTATTTTTCAAAAGACCAAAAAAGTGAAAAAGTATATTTTAACAAAACGCATTTGACTATCAGGTCGAACAACGGATGTTCTTAAACACTGCTGACTGCCATGGCGATTGCCAAATAAACGGATCACCAGCTGTAACAAATGGATCTTAGTTATTAATGTAATACCAAACAGAAAACAATAACGAATTAGATATACACTTGTCTATTAAAAAATGAACATTAAACATCGGATTATGATTTGGATTGGAAAGCGAGCGAATGGGAAATACAAGTCGTGAGACTAGAAACATTGTAGTTTTCGCTAATAACATTTTCTCATGCAAAACAAATAGTTCCTTTTCATCAACAAGGTAAACAATTACGATAAAATGCATACAAAAATAAATGAACAAAACTGATAAAAGTCAAAATCATGATTCTTCAAATGCTTTTTAAATCGCTTCGCCTGAACTGTGGCGGAGGATTAAATTCACAGTTTTCCCTCCATTTTCAATTTTTAAAAAGCCAATTTCTATTTAAATACTGTAAAATGCTTTCAGCAATATAAGTACACGTATCTGTTGATGTTGCATCATACACAATTGCATATGATTTTATGATTGAAGTCCTTTGCACACAGTACTTTTGTTCATTAGTTCTCGCGTAAGCTTTACAAAAATCAATATCGGTTGAAAAGGTCAGTTGAAAATAAAGGTTCTGTTGAACCTTCAAAAGATATTAAAACACCGTTTCTAACCACCTTTGTTTTCCTCCCTACAATATTTCTAATGAACATTTGTCACATTTGTATCAATTCTAATATAAGTAAATGGAAATCTTATGTCGTTAGTGTTCACATTAAAAAAGACCAGGATACAAAATTTGAAGGCAAGTTTTCTTTGCATATTTGATTGAATTTTGTAACTTACCTAAAATTGGATCCCGACAACATCCTTGTTGGCAACACAGTTGATCACCTGTACATTGGCGATCGTTATTGCATCTAAAACCACATGGAAGCAACGGTTGACTGCTTGGACAGGAACCCTGAAAACGTCGTTAGTTTTTAAAAACAAAAGAAGTACTCAAACAATGTCAAACAAACCAAAAATAAACAAATGTGGCTAAAATAAAAGAAAAATTAGAACAGTCAAAATCTAACAGTAAAAACAAATGTAGTTAGTACTTAAATTGAATTTGACATAGGTCTATATAAAAAAAATCACCTTCAGCCAATAACAGAACATATGATTGATTGAAAGTGGTTTAATGCCACCTTCAACGGTTTCGGTACTTATACATCCTCGGATTTCAAATGTTTGGCTATGAGCGTTCCTGATGAACGTAAATCCAGAAAAGCGCTTCGAACGCATGACATTATTTAACGTGTTGCTTTCAATTTTTTTCAGGACTATTGACTCTTTTGTGACGTTGACTTTTTATTTGTGGATGCAGGAAGAATGCCCAAAAAGAACATTCGACCTTTGGCAGGTAAACTGACAGTACTGCCATTTCAAATAAACATAAAAAAATAGACATCGATATTTGGGTACTTGCAGTTACTTAGAGCTAGTTAGCCAATAAGTACTAATGAATGAATCATGTTCGCTAATACTAAAGTATCAATCAGTACACATCCACTGGATTTAGTGTAAATACGTCATAAACAGTCTGATAAATGCATGACCTGGTAAACACAAGCAAAATACAATTATAAACCAACATGGAAACCAACAATGTCTTAAAACTGAAATATTTAGGAATGATTCATCTTGTTTCACGAAATCTTATACTTGACATTTGGATTTGTCATATTGTCATTTATTTGTTTTTTCCGGCAACATCATTTCATTGGGTATATGATGATCTTTGTTTAAAAGTTATATATAATATCTCTAAAAACGGTTAGCAATTTTGAAGCAATTGTATTTTTATTTTACGTAAATTGTTCATTCGGCTTAAACATTTCCTATTCAATATGTTTGCAACGTCAAAGTAACACCACATAAGTAGTTTCTGCAATAAATTGCCACAAAGTTGTATCAATATTTATCGAAGAATATTTCTGTTACATAATGGTGACCATCCCCTATTATCGAAAAGTTTTATTAAAATAAAAAATATTCTGTATACACCCAAAGAAAGTCTGAATTGTTATTTTAACTACAATTTCCTTAACACCGCCCTCACTGATATTTTATTAGTGCTATTGTGGACTTACCTGAAAACAATATTGTTAGATTCCTGTACATGGAGTTCGGTGTTTTTGTTATACTATTTTATGTTCTAATAAATGTTCAAGTGCAAATAATGTTCAAAGGTCCGATACGTGGCTACCCACTTGTGTAAATGTGTGCTTTTCTTCCTTATTTAAACGCATGGCTGCTATTAACGTTGAGCGATTATATATGATGTATACTTTCGATCAGTTAATACATGTCAAAAATGTACTTATTCGTGACTTAATTAATAAATGAAATGTCAAAACATACTGTTCACGTCACCCAAGAACAATTTATAGTAAAACCAAAAAATCACCTTTTTACACTTTGGATATGTGCATCCAGTAAAGCATTTTTCACCATTTATAATTTCATAACTAGAGCCTGGACAGGTATCTGGCGGAGGGGGAGCGCAACCTGGATTTGGTCCACATGGATCTTTCACTAGAATTATCCAGAATAACAAAATTTGTTCTCATTTTTTTTATCAATCTACATGTGCAAATAGTAGCGATAATAATACAAACGGACAAAAGTTATCGCACCAATTTATCACCAAATGTGTACTTACATGAGCGACATGATGGTACAGGATTAGCTTATCCTTCCAGAGCACCTAAGATCGCTCCCGAATTTGGTGTTCTGTTGCACTGTCTTTAGTTTTCTGTTTTGTGTTTTGTAGACATGATTGTCTTTTGGGAGTTTTTCGTGTTTTTCCTTCGCATTGTCAGTTCATACATGTCCAAGACATACCAGGATGTCGATATCGTCGATATCGACAATGTCGACACCATATCGAATCGATATCGATGAACTTATACATTCATATCATAACCCATAACTAGATGTAGATTTTAATGACGACACCAATGACAAAACCTGATGTCGATATCGACAATGTCGACTCGATATCGACTCGATATCGATGATGACTTAAGATAATGAATAAAAATAAGACATAACAAGCTGATTAAATTAAGACCGAAGATTGATATAGGGGTAAATGCTGGCTGAATTGTAATCTATTTATTTTTTTAAAAGACAATCAGTTGGTCACTTCTCAAAAGTAATGTATCCTTTAAACACATTAATGTATTCTTCAAAAAAACAAAAACAAAATTTTTGCTTGTATTACATTGACAATAGCTGACATGGTAATTTAGGTGTTAACTTAGTGAGATATGGTTGCATACAAAGATCTAAAAATGCATATATAGTACAAAAATGACTTGCTTGGTAAAATTGAAATCCATGGGATGTGAACTGGTTCCCATTTCAAACAGAGAAAGCATTGTTTATCTATTGGTTGAAATTAGATTTTAACTTTAATTGAATAGTTTCGAGTACTCTTAGATCGGTACTTTTTGATTTTGTCTATTTGTTGAATTTTATTTATTGATGCTACACCACCGTCCTAGATTTAAGGGAAGTTTTAACGTTTAAGTTTAACCTCGCCACATCCTTACTGTGATTGACCATTCTCGGGAGCTCTTTGATTAAGTGGTTGTCGTCCGTTGCTGTCGGTCATATTTGATTTTTGTTTATCATTTATACATAAATCAGGATGTTTGTTTTCCCATTTGAAATATTTAACATTTTGTCATGCCGGTATTATTGTTAATCTTTTCTGTGAAGACTGTAAGGTGACGTATAGTTGTTAACATCCTCATTCTTTTTGTGTTTGGAGGTCTGTTGTCTCATTGCAAATCGTGCAACATCCCCTTATCTTAATGTGTAATTAAGGAACGTATACTATACATATTTAAACAGATGAACCAGGAGAAACTAAATTGTCTATATAGATAATTGTAGCAGATAAATATTAGGAACATGTGTCAATATCGACTCGATGTCGTCGATATCGATATCTTAAAACAGACGAACCAGGAGAAACTAATTTGTCTATACAGATAACTGTAGGAGATAAACATTCATAACATAATTTTTCGATATCGACACGATGTCGTCGATATCGTCGATATCGACATCTTAAATAGACGATCTGGGAGAAACTATAATTGTTTATATACATAACTGTAAAACAGATTGACATTGGGAACATAATGTGTCGATATCGACTCGATATCGTCGATATCGACATCTTAAAATAGACGAACCAGGAGAAACTAAATTATATATATAGATTATCGTAGTAGATAGTCATTTGAAACATAATGTGTCGATATCGACTTGATATCGTCGATGTCGTCGATATCGATATCTTTATTACACAAACCAGGAGAAACTAAATTGCCTATATAGAAAAATGTAGCAGATAAACATTTGGATCATTATTTGTCGATATCCACTCGATATCGTCGATGTCGTCGATATCGTCGATGTCGTCGATATCGAGACTACATTGTGTCTTGGACATACCTCTGTCAGTTTGTTTTCTTATTATGGGTTTGAATAATTTTTTAATTCATTCCGCCTTAATTTTTCTTTATAAACAAGAATCTATCCTTAATATATGCCAACGTAATTTGGTATAAGGTTTTGTAAAATTGCACATTATTATAAGAAACAAAATTGTCTCTGAATTTTTTTGATGACATGATTTTCATATATTTATAAACAATCACGTTTACTTTAGTTTTTTATTTGAAGATATGGCTGATATTGCACCTTGTTCTAAAAAAAACAAACAAAAAAAACTATTGTTGCTTATAACGAAAGATAATTGTTAAGAAAGTTTTGCTGGCGTAAATTTAGTAAAGTAAAATTTTAGTAAAAGAGGTCAGTAGGTATTTTGTTAATTTTTAATGATTTTGTCGTTCGTTTGCTATAATATATTATGAATACATACAAAACACCGCCGTTATGTTCATACACAGATGTTATGTGCATTAAACGAACCAAAATGAATTTAATATTTAAAGAACAAACAGCCACCATTCAGTTATTCATTAGATATATCTTAGAACAACATAATTGAAAATTAACAAAAAAAATATCTGTTAGGGTCGATTCCTCAAAAACATTAGTTTCCCTTCCCGCTTGTCAGTGAGTCCAGTATCAATTACCTTGTCAAAGATGTATTTTTTGTGTCGAAAAATATAAAGAACTTGGTGGTGTTGGCAGATCATTTAAGACTCTGTTAAATTCATTCGCATCTTTTTCGCACTTTTGTGCTTAGTGTCCAGTAATAATTGTATAATACATATTCTGGGCGAGGACAAATTAACAATTAAACCATTAGGTAGATAATACAAGGTGGGATGACTGGGATGAAAATCGGGAAATTTGATATTCCGCTTGATAATAACGGTTCGTTTATTAAAGATAAGTATACAGCCTTCAAGGAGTCACAAGCCAAAGTTGTTGCAAGGTTTCGTCAACGTGCTAAGCGTGGCACTCACCTTACAAGTAGCATCAAATTTAACGTCCCAATTCTGACCTGACGTCGATGATAGTTTGTACATCCCGCAAAGTAAAACGAACGCCGAAATTCAGCAAAGGTTGTACTGCAGAGAGAGGAGAAGCCCCGAACTTACCGTATTTCAATACCTGTCTCAATTCTATAGGTCCACTTTGGAAATATAAATGTTTGCAGTTTTGTATACTATAGTTGCTATTTAAACGTATTCTGACGATCAGCTGCTTTATATATTCTTGTGAAGTACGGTTGCTGTGTCACAAATAATATAACACACTTATTTCCATATTGCTAATTAATAAATGAAAAGCTATCATAGTGTACTAACTAACGCCATTACAAAGTCGCTCGCATCGTCTTTTGGTTCTAAAATTATTCCTGTTGCCTCGTCGTCCACCATATATAAACCCTTCACACTGCATTGACTTGGTATTGTAAAACCATCTTGGTATAGATGATTGACCTTCCCCAATCAGCTTTGGTAGTGTGCACACTAAAAAGTTGAATATTCAGTAATTCAGTAATGTTAAACATGATCTTTACGGTAAATATCGATACTATCAAGATATCACTGGCAAAATAAAATTGAGAATGGAAATGGGAAATGTGTCAAGGAGACAACAAAAAGCATGTAAAGATCATACAATCAGCATGTGTCATCTGTGTTAAATGACATTACATTTGAGGTCCATTTCGTCAATTCCAACGTTCTTGGTCAACATTCTTATGACCTCATTGTAACATCACGACTGATTATAGTGAATAGATTATACCACCCTATTCATTTTGTTTTTGCAGAAATAACATACTTTAGAACTGATTGTCGAATTTTACTATTTCTTAAATTTCAGGACTAAATTATAGCTCATATAATTCCTCCTCCTCCTCCTTTAGATGCATTTCAATTTTAGTGAATTTTCAGCAATTACCACAAAAATGAAAAAGAAGAAAATGTGAAAAAAAAACTATGTTTCCTTTGTTATGATGGTTATTACTGCACTTAATTATTTTGATTCCGATGCAATATTATATTATAAAGTAAACATTTAACGATATTGCATCAGGACGGTCTTAAACAACATTGTATAGCCCTGTTTGACATGATGAATGAGTTTAAAACTAAATTTCTAATTATTATTATTTAGCCGATTTACAATTCAAATATGTGTATATTTTTACACATATCGGTTTCTGATCCTTTGAACTATATACATTCAGGTTTTATCGGCTCTACATGTACTCCATGGAATTAGATATTTGCAAACATGCGTGATTATATCTCGTATACGGTGCACTTATATTGTGTTGAGAAAACATGTCTTATTTACAAACATAATCACTGTATAGTTCAGAAACTATATCGAGAATAAAATACAAGTACCTCGTTTTCTGCATGCAGTAACACAATCTCGTCTTGTTTTGAAATTATTATTGTTGCCCTCACAACCACCATAGAAGAACCTTTTGCAACGCCCAGTTTGAACATCATAATGAAATCTTTGTATCGATGCACGACATGAACCAACGACTTTCGGCAGGTCGCAAATATTATCACTCGATATTACACCAAATATCTGCAATGATATTATCTAATGAAACTGTTCCAGTGATAAACAATACCGTTCATTAAGTTACTAATTTCTTTTTTTTATTTGTTTGAAGAATACAAACCATTCATAGACATATTACTTCACAACATGTACAATTAAAAAAAACAGTAGTTTATCGATGACTATAAATCGATAAGGAAGACAAAGCCAGCTACTAAACAAACTGAGGGAACCACATGAAATCGACAGGGTGATCGACTCCTGCGATGCATGAATCATACTCCAAGCCATTCAAAACCTAGTCTAAGGGTCATAATCAATAAAATTACAGATTAGAATTTTATTCTGGTATCTTATGATCTAAGACTGCGAAAATGTATCGCTAGTGAATTTTGACACCAAAAAAATCAAATCAGGCAACAAATTCGGGAACGTGAGCAGTAAACACTAGAACTGCAAGCACATATTGCAAGTGAATTGAGACACCAAAAAATCAAATCAGGCAACCAATTCGGAATCGTGTTGCAGGGATATTTTATAAATACTTTGGATTAATCAATAAGAATTTCATGTTAAACAAAAGGCAAGCTTTACTATATAGAGTAATGAATTAGGTATTTGGAGGTTTAACTACGTCCATGGGGAGAATACCGCCTAGTTGTGTGAAACTTTTGTATGGCGCAATGAAGGCGATTGTTATACATGTAATACGAAAAACAATTCAGTTAAAGAAGAGGCTCAACACAGTAGTTTAAGTTGTATTTGTGATTAATTAATCGCCTTAGTAAGTATATTGTTTGAGTTGTTTTGATGCCAAATCGACACATTAAAGGTACAAAATGATGACGTAAAAACGAACACCGGAAAGAAGTTTTCCGCCATGTTGTTAAGCTTTTCTAGCATGATAATAGTAAACACTTTACAACAAAAGTAATATCCGAACATTCAGAATATTCATAATTGATGTATTAATCCCACTAGTCAGTATTATGTATGGGTTTTTTGATGCCAAATCAATACATCAAAGTTACCAAATGAGTTTAAAGACGTTTAAGAAATTATACTGTAGCGTGTAAAAAATGTTAAAACTAATTAAAGCATCATAGTTAATAGAAAGTTGTGAAAAGGTGACAATAAATTAAACTTACCAAGACGAGAAACAAGAATACCAGTTGGAGACTTAACTGCATCCTGAATAAATAAAATCAACACCTATCTAGACTAAACCAGAATACAATATGCACTATTTCATAACAAAAATTATAAATTATACAGATGAGGTACGGGAAAGCGGATTAGCAACATGTGTAGTTTTAAATATCATCTAATGCACATATGAAAAATAACTTAGCAAACTTCAGTTTGATGTCAGTTGGTGTTCATGTTATAGGTAACATTAATGTAAATGAAGCCAAATGTTCAAGGACAACGGCTCGGTTTAAAAGTGCTCTATGAATCCATCTTTCTCTGCTAATTAATATAAGTAAGGAATGTCAATCGTTTGCAGATTGTTGGTTGAAATATTTCTGTTTTATTTTCTCTTATATTATGTAGGAACTGAAAAATAAACATTTTGTCAACTATTGTGTGGTTTGCGTGTAATTAAAAAAAAACTCTTTTTTTTATCTAAATGTTTATCATGATCTTTTTCCAAATGTCAATTTATTTAACAACAAATCAGAAATATTGATTTGCAATAGCCTATTTGTCAATAACACTTCCCTGCGAAATTTGTTATACAAAGGTCCGAAATATCGTGAGCCTAAATCCATCAATTGGAAATACAACTTCAAAATACTGATGGATTCAGTCGAGGATTATGCCAGGCAATGGGATAAACGCGAGAAAGAAGACGTAGATACTCTTTCCGAATGGATTAAGGCTGTGAGGTTGTTGATACAAATCCGTAGTAAGAAACTAAATGGGCATATCAATACCCACGCTACGTCAATTTTTAAAGACCCAAATGTTGCAAAACACTTGTCCTACCTCCATGACAAATATGTTGTTGTCCCCGCAGATAAAGCCCTAAACAACATTTGTGTGTAAATATCATTACATAGACTGCTTGATAAATGAATTAGGTATTGACAATTCACTTGGAAACTCAACATATACCCTCACGACACTTACCAAAGAGGAAATCCTGGATAATCACAGGTCTGTTCTATGTTCATTTGGAATTTCAACCAAAGATGAAGAACTGGACCTTCCATCACTGTATTGGATACCTAAACTACATAAGTGTCCTTACAAACAACGGTATATTGCTGGGTCTTCCAAGTGCTCCACGAAACTTCTTACTAAATTATTAACATCTATTTTATCAGCAATCAAAGCCGGACTCCAAAGTTATTGTGAAATTGCCTATTCTAGAGGTGGCGTGAATCAGATGTGGATACTAAATTCCAAAGATCTTTTAGAGTACATACAATCTAAGACTCTCTCATCTTGCAATAGTATTAAAACATTTGACTTTTCTACACTTTACACAAGTATTCCCAATTCCAAACTAAAAGACAAATTGAAAGAGTTGGTATTACTTTGTTTCATTAAAAAGAATGGCGAACGTAGATACAAGTATCTTGTCTTGGGGAGGGATAAATCCTACTTTGTAAAGAATCACTCTGATTCAATCAAAAAATTCTCTGAAACTGACATTATCAAGATGCTTGATTTCTTGATTGACAACATATTTGTTACGTTTGGAGGACGTGTTTTTCAACAAACTGTCGGAATTCCAAAGGGAACCAATTGTGGCCCTCTTCTTGCCGACTTGTTTCTTTATTATTATGAGGCTGACTTCATACAGGAACTTATTAGGAAGAAAGATAAGAAGTTAGCAATATCCTTTAACTATACGTTCCGTTATATAGATGATGTTCTCTCACTAAATAATACAAAATTTGGTGACTATGTTGAACGAATCTATCCAATCGAACTAGAGATAAAGGATACTACAGATACAGTTAAGTCTGCCTCGTATCTTGACTTACATCTAGAAATTGACAATGAGGGTCGGTTGAAAACAAAACTTTACGACAAAAGAGATGATTGCAGCTTCCCAATTGTAAACTTTCCATTTCTATGTAGCAACATTCCAGCAGCGCCTGCATACGGAGTATATATCTCCCAACTGATACGATAGTCCAGGGCTTGTGTTTCCTATCATGATTTCCTTGATAGAGGATTGCTGCTCACAAGGAAGCTATTAAACCAAGAGTTCCAAATGGTGAAGTTGAAGTCATCCCTTCGTAAATTTTACGGACGCCATCACGAGTTGGTTGACCACTATGGAATAACCGTTTCACAGATGATATCGGTTATGTTCCTTATGTCGTAACTACAATACCCTCCCTTTTCACGAATGTGACTTACCGAATTAGACTATTTACCGGATTTGTAATAACATAAGCAACACGACGGGTGCCACATGTGGAGCAGGATTTGCCTACCCTTCCGGAGCACCTGAGATCACCCCCAGTTTTTGGTGGGGTTCGTGTTGCTTAGTCTTTGGTTTTCTATGTTGTGTTTGTGTACTATTATTTGTCTGTTTGTCTTTTTATTTTTGGCCATGGTGTCAGTTTGTTTTCGATCTATGAGTTTGACTGTCCCTCTGGTATCTTTCGTCCCTCTTCTATAGAGTATGGTACATTTTCAAACATAACAACTTCGGAAGTGTAAGACCATGAATCTCATAATAAGTTTTTTGAAGAAGTTTATGTTAGTCAAACAATATGACTCAATGGTGTCTAGGTGTTTTAGTCTTTCTGTCAGTGTTTGATGATTTCCAGAACTGTAAAGCTTTCACATGTCTCGACAGTTGCAGAAAGTTAGATTAATTACGTTTCCTATGTAGTTTATATTGGAAAAGAACATGTTTACAGATTGTTGCAACCCTTTTAATGTATTCGATTCTGAAAGTGGAAAAGCGACCATGCACATGTGAACAGATTAATTAAGCGTGGTATATTTATGCGATCTCGATTAAACATGCATTTGATATTCGATTCCCTCATAGTAATCTTTTGACCGATTCATAAATAATGAAACGAACTTTTTCTTTTCATGATGTTGATTTTCCGTTTTAATAATTTGCCTACCCTTCCGAGGCCCCTAAGATCATCCCCAATATCTGATGAGATTCTTGTTGCTCATTCTTTAGTTTCTATGTATACTGCTTATCTGTTTGTCGTTTTTAATTTTATGGCTAGTCATTTTCATTTATTATTTTGAATATTATTTGGTATCTTTGGCATCTCTTCTTATGAACTTAATTTCTCAGTTGGATAATATGTACACGTGTTTGCGGTGACATTTCAAATTGCAATAATAAACAGTTTTGAAAGCATATATAAAAGAAAATGTCATAAATTATTCCAACCTTTTAGAAAGTTTTCTCACATATATATCAATTCAATGTTGGTACATGATTAAACATGGCCAATTATAATAAGATAAGGTATTTAACACAGTCACGTAAGGGTAGTTTGATTCAATTATTATGTTCGGCTTGGTTATTTTGCTCCAGGAATTTCTTTTATTCAAAAACTGATCTAAAACCAATCATAAGGAGAAGTTTTAAAATCTCCATCGTTTCCACGGAAACAATAAAATTAGTATGAAATGAATGTTTCCTTATATTTCCTTGGACAAGCTTAATCCACACATTTTCCAATCAACGATACTTACCATTAAGGAATTACTGTAATATTTTTTCTGTCTATGACGAAATAACAGCAAATGTGGTGCACACTGAATAACCCGTGTAGTCTATCTCGAATAGACAGAAAAAATATTTCAGTCATTTCCTTATAATTTAATTCTAAATTTTATTTTAAGCCGGAGTATATCATGAAAAACGTTGAGGACGTCACGGTCACATGACAAAATTATGAGCTGATAGACAAAACACTGTCAGCCAATTAGAAGACGCGTTACATCCAAAATTAAATTATTTCATCATATGTGTCAGGGCAGTGACACTATATTATAACAGATTAAAAAAAGAAAATACATTTTAAGCAGTATCCTAAAAATCTACAACATTACGGCATAAACATATCACTTTTCAATAACATTTAAACTATATTATGTTTTTTTTTAATATCAAAATGACCGCCGCTGTGCATGTTATATTTTAATTATTCGTTATGCAGTGATTGCGTGTATCATTTGTGTGTGTGGGTGGACAGGGGACATCAGTTCGACAAAATATACCTTCAAGCAGTACTAACAATTGTATTTCTCTACACTATTTCTGTACACATATGTGTTGTGCAATACAGAGACTTCTGCACTGCTTATGATATTGCTGCTAGGCAATTTATTTTGCATTTCTTTGTAGTTATTTATATCTTAAACATGTAATAATTGTGTGAAACATTACCGTCTTGCTATCGAAAGACAAATAATTCATGATTTTTTTTTATAGTAATGGCGTTTGTAGCTATTGCGTGTGTAGCATCACATTTTTCATAGACACGTGTTTATATGTGGACCCTTCAATCATGTCTATGTTTTAATTTCTCTTAGTGTTTGGTTGCTGTCTTTGTGAAATACACCATGCATTTTCTTTTATTTGTATGTCTGGCAGATAATTTTTGCTACAAAAAAAGATGAACATTTGGCATTTGGCAAATGTAATAAGCAATAAGTTACAACTAAAACACTTTTTTCGTCTGTCGTTTACTGTTTAAGAACGTATAATAATATGTTTGAATTGTTTTACACTAGTCATGTTGGGGCCCTTTAAAGCTTGTTGTTCGTTGTGAGTCAAGGCTCCGTCTTTTGGCCCATTATGGTTTACTTTTAACAAATTGTGATTTAGATGGAGATTTGTCTCATTGGCAGTCATACCACATCTTCTTATATCTATATATGTATAATTAAATGTATATATATGGAAACACTGTGTATATTTTGAGGTATACGTCAGAGGGACAGTTGACAAAACGGTACAAATACGTATAATTAAAATGTGTACGCAACATGTAGTGACCCCAAAGCTATACTTTTTAATTTATGAAACTATATGTATTTATATACTTTGAGCTAACTAATTTTCGCGACTTTTGCGATTAAAAAAATAACGCAAATATAAATCGTCCCGAATATGTAAACTCTGGATTTTACCATGTTCATCTATACCAAGTACATTTAAGAATCGCGAAATGGGCTAGAAAGGGTTAAACGCAAAATAATGTTTCCGCAAATATAAGTTGGTTGAACTTTTAATGTGTATTGTTCTTTTGGCATAATTTGTTTTAA